ACAGTTGAATAGTTCAGTAATGTTTAAGCAACTAAGACATGAACTATGAGGCATGCTTAATGTGAGTGAGGGAATTTTAACTGTCTTTTTGTAATCTCCTTTATCTAAATTATTGACTAAATTAAACAGATATAGAAAAATAGCGTTCAAAACTAGAAAGTGAAATGAAATGCATAAAAAAGTTGCATGTATAGGATTTCACTCAGGTTTTCATTCTTCTTCATGTTGGAAAATTACACTAAGAGCGTACAGAGAGCATGAAAATATGATGAGAAAGGGCTTTTGACGAAACTTCCGTGAATGCTGATGTGTGTTTAACATGTGCATCTGACAGGTTAACATTTTTACCTTGTAGTTTGTTTCTTTTCATGTCATGTCCTGCTTGTTTGTCATCAGGTTCATCATTTACAAAGCACCTGGAGAAATTATCCGTGGAACTAGAACATATAAAAAGGAGATGAAGTACTTTTACACTGATTCAGCAGCCAGAGTGTCACACATGTTGCCCGGTGCATCAGGCTACAAGAACCTCAACGATCCGTCTGGTGCCTTGGCCAACACACTGAGGCCAGTCTTGAAGAAAATTAGAAACATGGTGAGAATCTTTGGTTCAGTCATGGTCTGCCACCAAAACATACGATTTAATGCACGAGCTGGAAACCTAACACTTACTACAGGAAGCTGTGCAGATTTAAAGTTTTAATGCCTTTAGATCAGACGTAAGATTTCATTTTAGCTCCATGAAATGGACAGAAATAATGATTTGCTTAAATTCTAGATACCTAACAGTCGCTCTCGCATACCTGATTAAAACTATTACAAGTATACTCAAGGCATAAAAGAAAAAACAATGGCTAAGATGACAAAATCAGGCGACACTGCATCACACGAGACAGCAACAGGCAACTTAGGAATTTTTATTACCAAGAGATGAAGTCCACGCCCAGAAGCAGGAATAAATAGATTCAGTGTTGTGACTATTTCTTTCAGTGACTCTTTATTTATGAGACTGTGTAATGTATGCCTGCCATGTGTGTGTTATTAAAGTGTTAATGCAGACTTTATTTGCATGATTTACAGCCACCAAACTTTGGATTCATCAGCTACAGCGATCAACCTCCAGGATGTCAAGCAAAGCTTGACTTTGGGCACAGTAAAGGTGAAGAAAGCTACTTTTTACAGAGAACACACTGTCAAGCATATAAAACAAACACTGGAAAGAAAGTTTGGTAGATTATTGATCTTATAATATTAGACTCAGTCATTCAAATGCAGGCAGTGCAAGGATCAAAGAGCTTTGAATAATATGCATCCTATTCCTCATTTTATGACCAGTTGTGTAAATGTTCACTGTCCACAGGGGTGATCATGGTGGAAAAATACAATAATGGGGTCTGGCTCTTACACAGTACGCCTCGATTCCCCTTCAGAAGAGACCAAAACTATTTCTGGCCTGACAGCGGATTAAGAAATGCTCAGACGTTCATCTGTGTAACTTTCCCCTACGACGAGTTCAGAAACATCGGTTATAGGCTCAGTGCAAACGTTAAATATTACAATTTAAAGCCCAGAGGCTGAGCTAAACCTCACATTAAAAATCTCATTTAACTGTTTCCAGGTAAACACCTGCAGTACATCGGAGCTTTTCCATTTGAACATGATATTCCAGATGATTTCCATCAAGAGCTTATAGACGCAACAAAATGGGTTCAAGCTCCCCCACCGAGTAACTACCGAGCACTGACATCAACAGGAGGTCAGAGGTTTCTTAGCATTGCTAAACAGGTGAAAACAACAGGTGAGATACTCTCATGTTTAAAGGTTAAAGCAATAATTATCCTTTAAATTACACCAATTGTCATTGGTTAAGCTTTTAATTGGTTACAATGGTGTTTGTCTAGACTTAAACCAGGAAAGCTGTCACTGACCAGCACCAGCATGGTTAAATGGTGATGGGAATGAAAAACTTGGAACCTCTAAAGAGAGGACAGGTTTTAGGATCAGCTACGCTCAGTGCCAGTTTACATCATCTTCTTTACATCCAAATAGAAATTTGGGCCATGATATTTATGCTGCCTATAGCTGCTGATAATTGCTGGATTTCTGAAATCCACGTCCTGTTATTCATACTGTTGCTGACATTATGTCTTCATCAATCCGGTTGTTCAGTCTGACGTCACTAGCCGTGTCTGGGTCTAAACTCCGCTGCAGGTCCATATATCAAATGATCACTGTGGCATTACTGAGAGTTGAAAAACTGTCTAAAGTCTTTCATCTTTAATAAAATGATCAGCGTTCTGCTCTACCAGGTGTAACAATTGAGTTTAACATCCAGGCATCCATGAAAACGGACATTTATGACATTTAACGGAGTTAGAAGTTAGCAGGAAGTTAGCTCGCTAGCTTCTATCTAAATACAATATAGCATGTCCTGACTGCGGGGTTTTGGAAACAAATTAAAATGTACAGCTCTGTTATCACTTCCAGCATAAATGAAGACAGAAAACTAAACAGCAGTGACGTTTGTAGGGTTACTGAAGTTGGGCTAGCTGGTATATAATGATGTGCTACGTTGTCGTTAGCGACACAGCTATGTTAGCATAATATAAACAAGCTAACTTTTTTTTCACTCGATAAAAGTTAACGTGAGTGTTCTCGGTGGTCAGGAACAAATGTAATCGCATGGCAGGATGCTGTAAAAGGACCAAACTTCAGCCAGGAGAACAACTGAGATAATCCATCCACAATACGAGGTTAGTCATTCATATACTGCTGCATAGGCTGGGCTGTAGTTACATCCTAAGGTTTTAAAAACTGACCTTAAATAAATGATTAGCGGTAATAAAGGGAGGTCAACAGTGATCACTGACTGTTTTAGGAGCTTTTTGAGATCAAATAGAAGAAAATACATAACATTAAACATGTTAACAACACAAAAGCCATATTAAACGCAGACTACTTTAGACCCGGAAGTAGGATTCGTCACGTCATCACTGAACAACCGGATGGCCTCTGTGCTGTGTGCTGAACTGTCCTGTCGCTGTTCTTTCCATGTATACACAACAAAGACCCTGGAAACAAACGACCAAGAACAACAGGTAAACCTTACTAACTGAAATGGAATGTCTGAGCAGAGAGTGTGAGTGTGAACAATGTTAAATGTTTCAAAAAGACAGGAAATGCTTTATTTGCTCCTTTTTTGCAGATGGAGACCTGTACTACACCATTGCCCAGTCAGTCAGCAGTCATGTGTATGTGCAGACTTGGGGCTGCCATAAAGATCGTACCTCTTCTGACTGCTCAGACCCACTTCACAAAGTGTACAACATTAAAACTATAAATAAGGTTCTGGGTCCTCAGAGTACATGGGAGCCTAAAAGTGACCATTCAAAGTGGTGTGTGACCAAAAGCCAAAACAAAGCCTGGACCTGTATAGCTGACGTCAACAGGGCTGAAACCCAGTACAAGAGACGAGGTGGGGCGCTGTGCATTGAGAATGAAGCCGTAAGAAACAAGTTCCTGGAGTTTGCTGAAGACTTTGAGGACTGTATGACCCCAACCATCATGGACACTGACTCTGACTGTGACACTACTGACTGATGGGTCCATGGTACTGCCATCCACATGGACTCTTCAGTGATAGGCTGAATACAGCTCAACTTACTTCACTGTGGACTTTGCCAGTCCTTCTGTTTAATTAAAAAAAAACATGAAGGAAAACAAAGATTCAAAAGTGTTTGTTTAATTATCAGTCTGAAAAGATCTGTGGCAAGTATTACAATATGATAAACAAAGGGCAGTACCCACTGTCCATAGTCAGCCACTGTGCTCAGTTATGCAAAGGTGGTTTGTGCTGGATAAATTAAATTAAATCTGTTTGTTATTCTCTCTCTCATTGTTATTTATTCTACAGTTGTTGACCCTTTCCTTGAGCGCCTCCTGGTGTTTGAATATCAGCCTCTAAGAAAATGAATTCATTGCTTAATTAAAAGGTACAAATACAGCTTCAAATAAGGATTACTTGTGTTTTTGAACAATAACACAGTATTCACTTTGAAATGCACAATGTCAAAAAAAGGTTACACACTACATTTTCTAATACACAAAACAGTGTAATGTATATTTACACCTTTAATGGTATTTCACTTTAAAGATTAACATTTTCCTAGAATAGGTTAGTTAACATTTTACTGATAACTGAAGATTCTGAGGAGAAACGGAAAAACGGGAGACCAAACAGGAAGGATGATAAAAATGGGGAAACAGCAGAAATGATGGAACTGGTTACTTTTTCCTGTGTGCCTCTGAGTTTTCTCCTGGTCCTCCAGCTTCCTGCCACAATCCAAACACAGGTGTCATATGATAACTGGTGTTGTAGAATATGTGAGGTAGATAAAGAACTACATGAATGTAAAAAGTGACTCATAGTCCAAAGTGATTTTGAGTGCTTACAAAGACTAGAAAAATGTTATATATCACATTTAGTACAATTACAGTTTAAACTGTTTATCAACACTTTATTGTAGAATTTTTTGCCTATACTTCAGTAACAGTTGAAACCATTTATTCTATATGATACAGGTTGCAGGTTGTTGTGACACATGAGCTGCAATTGTATGTAATGTGTGAACTCTATGTGTGTACATTTTGTCTACTGGGAACTCTTGCAAATCAAAACTTAGAAGCATTTGTTTGAATTAATCATGAAAAACTGTGTCAACTCAAATGTGATTTTTTCCCCCAAGAAAAACTGGTAATCTGTCAGATATAGTATTTAAACACTCAATTTACTATTTGCTCCCCATTTAATTGCTTATTAAATTCAAAGTCTAGTGTACCTGTACTTTTAGAAATTGAACCCATTTTAATTACAATTCCATAAAACTGTATTTTATTCTCAATAGGACACAGAAACACATTAAATGTTTGAACTGAGTAATCGTACCATTTTACATTCTCCTGCTATGAAGCCATGCTGCTGGGATAACTGCAGTATGTTGTTTAGCATCGTCCTGCTGACATATGAAGGCCTTCCCTAAAAATGATGTCTGGATGGGAGCATCTGTTGCTCTAAAATCTGCACATACTGTTCAGCATGCATGCCTTTCCAGATTTGGAAGCTGCCAATGGCATTAGGCACTAATGGACCACCATACCGTCAGAGATGCTGGTTTTAGACCAAATTATCTTACTAGCCTGTCATAATCATGTGCAAAATGTTCCAACAGTTCTTTCTTTTCAGTATTATTTACATTCCCACATAGTAGACACGTCTGGCCTGGAGTCAAGCTGGAACTGCTTGCTGACTTCTGGCATATGGGCCAATCCTGGCAATGATTTTAAAGTGTGCGTGTTAGTCCCCATAGGGAAATAGTTCCTCTGCATTTA